CTGCCCCCCCCTAAAAATTCACGCTCCCCCCCCCCAAAAAAAAAAAAAAAAAAAAAAAAAAGTTGTGGGTTTTTTTCCAGTGTTTTGTTCCAAGCGGCTGTGATGTTAACCATTGCACGCTTCAGAAAAATAAGAACAAGGTATTATACGAACCCTACGGAAATAGAGAGGCACTAAAATACAACAATACTTGAAATAACACATTGCTTCCTATTTATGATTTTACATGCAAGTTTATTTTAATTTATCACAAGCTCCATAATTCACCTTCATGTGGTTGTTTTACAGACCATGAACATGTATTACCTGAATAAGAACCAAGCGATACAGTCCAGCGTACAGTAAGTGCTAGTAAAACAGTAATTGCCATTAAGCTCCACTTCTCCATAGCTGGTCTTTGTAACAAGCCAGAAGGTATCTGAAAAAACACCATAAACATTGCTACAATACTGTCCATATTTTTGTTCCTTAGGCATTTAAGGGCACTACTGATAATCCCTGTTTTCTCCCCACCCAGAAGCATTCTGTTACTGTCTTGTATCTGGAAGCACACTGCAATCAGGAAGGGGTTTAAGTACTGGCGAATTTCTAACCATGAAGCCAAATGCTGCCCAGAAGCAATTTCTGCCGCTTCTGAGCTAGAAGCTGAAAAGGCATCTGACAAAATGCATAAAAACAACGGCAAGAAGGGCAAGAGATTTCAAAACACTTCAGAGAATTCAGATACCAGATCAACACTACGCTGTACATACACGTACATACTTAAACATCACCTTAATAAGCTCCACACAATTTGTTATGCAAGCATGAAGCATATTTCACCTCTAAGTAACAAGAAAAGATTCTACAGCAGACCAGTAGAAAAGATTGTAGTGGTAGTCAAAATATTCATGCCAACCATATGTGTTACATCGCTCACAAACTAATATTTGACACTGAACAAGAAAAACCTCTTCAAAGAAGTCTATAAAAATTCCTAGATTAATGACTCGCTAGAAAAAAAAACATTCTTAGCAAGCATATGACTCTAAAAAGTGAGTAAATGTCCCAGTATTAAGTTAATGCCACTTATTTTCTCAATTAAGAATACCACAGCCAAATTACACAACATGCAGATCTGGTATAGGCTTCTCTGTTGGTTTAAACATACCCAAAACCGATTCAAAAGTTAACTACACACTGGCAGGTATTATGCTGGACCAGGTATTGTCTGTTCTCCTGCAGCCATTATAAAAGCACAGAGCTCATCATAAACTCTGTATTATGTGTTCTAACTAATTCCACAGGAATACAGTCACGAGCCAGTACATACTAAAAAAATTAAATGCCTACTGCCAACCTAGGAATGCAAACATCTGGCATTAATGATGAAAAATCCCTGATCTGAATCTTCCTTCAGTCTCGATATTCAAAAAGGGGCTTGAAATTCTACCTCTCCCTTTGCAAGCATAAGCACACTATCCATCAGCTACCTCTCCCTAGAGGATACTCCAGATGAAACCTACCAGGCTCAAGAGACCTTCTCCATTCTTCTACTCAAAAAGGCAGGAGGACTGATCTCCCACCAAGCTTGCTTGACTATACTAAGGATCCAGTAACAATAAGAAACATTGCTAGATCTGTCAAATTAAAGGCCACATTCATCAAACTCGGAAATCAAGAAACAGGAAAGTAATGACGTTGCCATATGCAAAAAACACTAACTATAGAATATGCAAACTTCGACCCAGAGAATCAAAAATATTTTAGTCCGAGTTAGGAAAAAAAAAACTGAAGAAGAAACTACTGCAATCTTAACAGCGAGAGACAGCAGTAAATCCAAAGGCTGTACTTCTGCCAAATCAGCAGCAGTAGCACCATTCCCTCCAGTCAGCAACAGATACATGACAGAAGAGCGGATGGCCTGGGTACAACTGCCAAAGACTTTCCTTGCAGAAAAGGCATCATCTGATTTAAGTTAATTTAATATACTTGCCACTGCCAAAAAAAAGCAACAAAACCAAATCCCACACAGCAGCAGTACTGAACTGCCGTTTTAGTAACAGACAAGCAACATCTAAGACATATTTAGGTTATTCTGCTCAAACTAAATCCATATTTATTTACCATTCACAGAAAGGTATAACCCAACACCATCACCAAGGGGGAAAAAAATAAAGTTACTTTAACAATATAAATCTATGACAGCAATAGATCACCATCTATAGGTAGAAATGTGAACACTGATATTTGCATGTTTCAATGCTACACCTGTGCCTAAACCACAAGATAGGCACATTTATCTAAATAAAAAATACAGATGTCAACTCCGTACATCATTTTACCCTAGGTGAACTCTCGTGCCTCCTAAAGTTTGGTCCAGTAAGACCAGAGTCCTATCTGTCTTCCAAAAATCAAGTGTCACAAGTCTGGCCTTTCCCTTCTATAAAATACTCACATCTGCCCTTCCTTTCTCTCTCCAGTTAGAACAATTATTAATTAATTATACCTTCTTAATTCCTACGTAATGCCAGTCTCACCTACAGACAAACTCCCCTGTCTCTGTTCCTCTCATTTCCTTCTACCATTCCCTACGTTTGGAATAACTGTCATTTTCTGGGACATAGAGTTTCTTCTTTCTCTGCTCTCAAAAGCGGTTCTTAAAATATTCTTTCCTACTTCTTTTTCCTCTTTAGTAATTATTTCATGCCTCCTGAAACAAAAGCCATGCTTTTATTAGATTCCAAAGCACAGATCTCTAATTTTTGCTATCCCATGGGTAACAATGTTAAACATATAACACTTTTTAGGAGATGATAAAGCTGGTCAGCCTCAAACTTTTTACCTTCTGCCTCTGGATGGGCAACACTAGAGGGTCTCTCAAGCGAGGTGCCACCTATAAGCATAAGGTGAAAATCACAGCTCCAAAAAACCACTATCCTTCCACGCTGCCTACTGTGAAGATTTAGATAAATAGCACCGATACAAACCACCCACTCCTTGCCAAAGGGAAACTGGCAGAACTCAGTCACAGATGCACGACCCTTAATGTAACTCATTGTTTCAAGAGAGATGTCAGCATGCAGCTGAGCAGCATCCTTTCCTTCCTCAAAAATGCAAACGCTAAATTAAGAATTTCATTTGTTGAAGCGATACCCGTTCTATAAGCCCGCTGCTTCCTCACTCCTTGTCAGAAAACGTATTTATTTCTCAAATTTCCTCATTCATCCACCCTCCATTCCCAGCCGCCTCAGAGAGACACACGAGCGTGAGCAGTTGCAGACGGACTTGC